ATACAGACACCTAGAAATTGACGTTTCCACCAAGTGTATGAATCCAGTTTATAGTGTGTCTACAAGAGAATAAACCAAAGCTGGTAATGAGTAGCAACTCAGCTGTCACTTCTGAACCAGAAGCAGTCTTCTTCTGTGAACTGATAAAGCCAATCTTCACTTAACTCAAGCAAAACGTCCTTCAGCTCCTGTGGCCTGATCTCCATAGTAGTGGCTTGTGAAAATACTGACAGGACTCTGAGGTTTTATGGTATGTCATTAAGTCACCATCCTCAGAAAGAGACAGTGCAACCTCATAGATGTTTCCAGGAAGCAGCATGCCAAGGACACGAGCCCCTGACATATTGTCCTGCTTAAAATCTTCCTTGGGCATTGGCCTGAAGCAGCCACAATGCTTGAAGGTTTAGGAGCACAAGGCAATGGAAAGGACAAGAAGGAAGGTTTCCTTTGCTCACTCCCCAGCTCGTGCTCTTGCAAAAGGATAACTGGCACCAAGTTTGGCCCACATGACTTGGGGAAACAAAGTCCTACAGACATGGATCAAATGCTCTAACTCCCATTGATCTCTAGCCAGAGAATCTCTATAAAGGTCCTATTGTTCAGGGAGATGAACTGCTCTGGGAGGGAGCACTGCTAATACCCTTCACAGAGGCAGATGTTATTGTATCAGAGGTTGGCAGACATTTTTCTGTTATTTGTCTAATTGCAAAGTTATATCTAAGGTTTCTTTAACTTTCACTTTCCTTTTAATGCTCTTAAATGCAAATCTGAGAAGATTTAGTTGTTTTGTTGTCAAAGACATGCAGTCTGGAAGTTCCATGTACTTATTTTTCATCCTCAGGTGCACTTCTGCCTTCAGCCAGTTACCAGTAGAACAGAGCAAATGGGGATGCAGTGATCAGATTTCTAAGGCACAAAAGTTAAAGCTAAGTTTGAGATTGTGACAGCAAGCAGCCATGAGCCTAGGAACTCAATTAGCCTGAAAGACAACTATCTCATTATCTTTCCTAAAATGATATAAATACATAAGAATATAAAAATTTAAAATAAACTCTCTCTCTATTGACTGTCTAGATGACTGAATTTCACTGCTCAATTTCTTTAAACACCCACTTTAGTATTTATTTATTCTAAGCGTGAAGCAGCTACGATAATTAGACTGTCAGATTTGGTAAGTTAATGAGGAGTCACTGGAGTGGAAGGTTTTGCATTTGTGAGATTGCTGAAGGAGAGAAGCTCCGTGCCTTTGCTCTATCTCTTTTTTCTTTTTCTTTTTTTTCCTCCTCTGCTGGGTGGGAAGGAGAGAGCTTGGCAGCGCGTAGATCCATTTGAATCCTTTTGATTAGTGGATTGCATTCCCACCACTGTTCTACCAAATACTATTTTGCTGGTTGCTCCAAGAAAAAGAAAAAAAAAAGAAAAGAAACCATAGATGAGATTTCTAGAGAAGGGAGCCTAGATTAAAGAAATCCTTTTCCAAAAAATTCAGGAGGAAAGAAGATGTGAAAAATAGGATCCTGAATTAGTTTGCAGGTGAGTATTAGGAAGGTAGCTCAATGTAAGAAAAGGACTATTTTGCAGCTTTCTCTTTAATCTGTTTTTTTGTTTGTTTGTTTTTTGTTTTGTTTTATTTTGTTTTCCACAGAACAGTCAGTGCTCTCAGTTCCAGCAGTGAGACTGCAACCTGAAATCTGTGACCTGTTTACTTCTTATCATAAAGGACATCTCTCAGAAGGTTCAAGCAAGCTTTGGTAGAAAGCAGAAATGACTGGCTACTTCTTGGGTAAACATGTGGTTCCCACTATGAAAGCTGCTGCCATCATTCTCTAGCATATGAATTTTTTTATGCATTGAAGGTGGGAAAACAACCAATACCCACAGCTGGACCACCACATCCCAGGCTGAGGACAAAATGGCAAATCTTCTCACATTCAGAGAGAAGAGGTCAGCAAGCCAGTGGCCCCCAGTGCACAATGCACAGTGGTATCGTGGGAGGTCTGGGTTTGTTTTGTCATGTTCTCAAATCTCAGACCAGTGCCCTTTCCTCTGATGCCTCCCCAGTCAAAATATGGTTTCATTTCCACATTGCTTAAACTGACCAAATTGCTTTGTTTGCCTTTGTCTATGTCTATTGAATTCACATTTTATAGCTTACTTGTTATGATTTAACACACAATGGAATTTGCTCACTGAAGTACCAGAAATGACAAAGAGCTCTACCCAGGGGGGAAAAGAGCAATTTCGCAATGGATGTTATGGCAATGTGTATTCTTCCATTGGAGTGATGAAACCATAGCTCCACCTTTCTTGGGTTCATCTCGTGTCATAACATTCTGCCACAGCAAGCCGGAGTTTGTCATTGGAGTCTTTTTCTCTCAGAACTCCATACAGTGCTGTGGTTTGAAGCAAACATTTGGGTGTTTCTGATGTGATTTGGTTACTCTGCCACACGTCATACTTTGATTTCATCTATATCACTGTATCAGCACAATGTTGGACTAATGTCACAAAACTGATCTGCCTAATTTTGTGATAAAATGTGCTTCCTGTGTATGTGCCAGAACCTGAGCCAAGCTAGGAAAAATCCCTCAGGTTTGTAACATTCACGGTTTTCATTGATCTGTACTTTAGTATGAGTCACTTTAAAACATTATGTCTTTGTTTCCCATCTCTTCTTATGTTTTAATAAAAAATATTTTAAAATAAAAGAAGTTCTGTTATTTATGTATATTAACTATATTATATATTTCATATGCACCCAAGGTAATTCCTCTTCACTCAATGCAGCTCAGGCAAACGAAAAGGTTGGACACCCAGGATTTAAAATGTTGTTCCAGCACCAACATTTATCTCCATTTTATTACAGAAAACCTCTATTAACAAAAGATCACTTAACATCACTGAAAAAAATTACAGGAAAATACCCTTTTCATATATCCTGTCCCTTTGCTTATTTTGTGCATTTGCTAGCAGTAAGTATCCAGTCAGTGTCACCAGCTGAGTCTGTGCTTGCAGGGCAGACATGGAAGCTGGTCTTGAGGCCAAATTAACTTGACTTACTGTCTGCAACTTAGCTAAGATACCAGGACAAATCTCAGCTATACTCCTGTGCTTCTAAATGCATGTAGATGGTGTTTACTGCTGTGAGGTCAGGTCCTGGCACCCAGTGCCTGGTCTTACAACCTTGCTCAACCCCATCTGTCCTCGTCATGTGGACAACAGCAGACAGGACAGCCTTCAGTACTTTTGAGAAGGAGCCAACATTGTGGCCAGACTGGATTTTGGAGGCAGCCTGGGTTCATTCCCAGCTCACCTGCTCGGCTGAGGGCAGACAGGGTGGCTGTTCCCTCTCTGTGATCAGAGAAAAACTAATCCTGCCATAAAAATGGCTGTCAATTCCGGAAAGGCTTCTCGGACAGCTCACTTGAGGAGGGCACACATGCTTCAGTGTTTACTGACTTAGCTCTGGCCAATTTAACCTCATTTTGATGACACTTCACAGACACAAGATTTAAAATAGTGAAACTATGAAAAAAGTAGAAGATTCTCTTCAGTGATTTGGTTGGTTGGTTTTGTTTTTGTTTTGTTTTTAATATTAACCTGGCTTCAAAGTGATGGTGACCCTTTTTTTTTCAGCTGCTTACACAACATATTATACAGGCTTAAATGTCAGCTCAAGTTTTCTTCTGCAGTTAACTACAGGAAGACATTCTGTAAGTGATGTTTTTCAGATTATTAAACTTTTTTTTTTTTAAAGAAAACGGCATCTGGATTTAGACATGCAAGCAAGGTTAAAAATGAAACAGTAATTTCTTTGTCATTTTAATAGGCTACCAATGGAAAGCAGGGGTTCTGTGTGCTTTTTCAAATCTAATCAGAGGTAGATAGGCATCTAAGGCTCAACAGCCTCATGCTGGTGCAGGAGAGAATGGAATTTCCTGGGAACATAATGAAACTGGCCAGCCTTCTTTCATTGGCTAACCTGAGTTGAGTTATAAAAATAGACAAAACCAAATAACTAAACATACCAGGCTCAATCCTGAATCTATGGGCCCTGAGCCACACAGCAAGAGACAAACATCATCACAGTCTCCTCCTTGTTCTTCTTCTGGTTTCAGGAAGAGACCAGATAGTGCCAGGCATCTATCCCAGGGTGACATACTCTCCATGCCAATACATCATCTATCTTCTACTCTATTCCACCTTTTCCCCTCTATCTGCTGAGAAGAAACGTATGGATTGTTGGAATCTGCTTGCTTTCTCATGCAAGGAGACTTAGGCCATACATTTTTATGCTAACACAATTCCTTTGCAACAGGAGTAGATTCTATACTCCATTACAACAAAGATCTTTGAAATAACTTTTCATATTGATGAAATGAGGCAAAATCTTTGCAGGTGTAAAACAAGGGCAGAGTCTGGTCCAGAGTGGCTTATTTCTTAAAATCACCTTTCAGCAGAAGAGAACAAAAGCATGCAGATGCCCTGCCTGTTGTTTTTCAGAAAGCAATGTCAGAAAGATTGACTTGGCAACGAAGATGTAACAGCATAGTCTGAACACTGGACTTGCAGAATAAACGCAGCCATGTGTCACTTAATAGAGAGATCCCTGGACCAGAAGATCGTTGTACAAACAGGACAGATGGGGACTGACAATTGAAAGAATGTAGAGGCTGATCCAAGGCTTACAGAAACCTGTCATTCTTTGGGTTTGCCTACAATCTACTTCAACAAAAGAGCTCCTGAGGGAAGGAGGGGATTAGTCAAAAGTTGAGTAAGTCTCCAGGGAAGATGGCTTCTTGGATAAAGTTGTCAACAAAAGGAATTGTTTAAGACTATTTGTTATAATTTCCTAGAGGGAGCTTCTGCCACTGCTAACAGGATTACCAGCATACTGGTTCCACACCAGCAGAGCATTAGACATATGCATTGCAGACTGGTTGCTTAGAGCTGAATTCAGGGGTCTTCTTATACTGGATCTTAAGAGTGTGCAGGTGCTGGTGAGCAGAGGGGAGATGGCAAAGAATTAAGATGAAGCCAAACACAGGCCATTTTTGGTCCAGCTGTTGCAGAGTCCTGGCTCATTAATGAGTTACCAGGGTGTTTTAATCTTCTTGATCTCAAGGGCTGCTGACAGGCTATGAAAATGAAAACTAATCTGAGGTGAGTGCTGATCAGGATACACAGGGAAATGTGCAGGAGCTCTTTCCCAGCTATAGTTACTGCGAAATTCCTCATGTAATTTGTATTGGAAGAATCAGAAATACAACTCACTGCATTCATGTGCTTGGTCAGGGTGCTTGGTCTCAACTACCTGGGATATTTTCTCTTACTTTTTGGTCCTTAGAAGTCAGATGCCTCACTGTAATCTCACAGCAGATCTGGGAGAAAAAAAAAAAAGAATACAAAGACAAATCATTATGGTGTAGGCATGCAAACTTTCTTATTCATCTGAACAGTGTCACTGGCAGGACTGGGGCAACTTCGCTGATCAAGAATTATGCAGGGCATTCAGGTATTAGTACAAAACCTGTTACGGAGCTATGACAAGGCACTGGTGAAGTAGATGGCAGCTACATAAAGAGATGGAAGAGGTCATTTTGGGTTAAAGGAGCTACAGTTCCTCTGAGTGCTGACTAAGCACTGCAGACATAAGCAGAAAGCAGCACAGCTGTTTATGTCCCCCTTCGCCCTCTCTGTATACGTAATTGCAGAGGAAAAAGGCATATAGGCCAGCTGCAGGTATTGCTCAGTTAAGAAGACAATTAGTATTCCTTATGTTATTGTTAGAGTCCTCAATATTCTGTGCTTTGATGAAAAAAACAGCTACGTTCCTAAAGTTCTTCCAGCTCTAGATTGTGTGGATCCACATCTACCAAACACCAAGCACCCAAAGTGAGTACGGATGCCTGACCTCACCATGAAACACTGAAAAGAATTTTGCGTCCTGATATAGGACCTTATGCATTTTATTTTTTTTGCAATGAATATTACATTGACCTCACAGCTGTATAAACAAAATCTGACTAGAGCCTATAGAGTTCTACTTGGGCACATATCTCTGTGTCAGCTTCCTACATGCAGGTTTATTTGTGCAGAGAAGAGCAACTGGAATCTCTTTCAAAGCAAAGCAAGAGTTCTTAAGCACATAAGCACTGGCTGCTGCATTGCAAAATGCTACAAATAAGATGTCTTTTAAAAGTGAATCTGTGTTGGTAAGAAATAGCTCTCCAATTCTGAGTTACATTGCACTGTAATATGCATGTTCAGAGAGTCGATAAATGATGCCCAGCTTAGGACAGGGAGATTTGCTTTCCTTTTGCTCTCTTGGGGATGGCAGAGAAGAGCAGTGAAGATGCAACACTTATAATGCCTGTCATGGTTATGGCTGGATGTCTATTTCAAATTGAGAGACACTGAATAGCAGTTAAATAAATGTTAAATGAAACGTTTTTGTTTTGCAAGGGCAGTAAATGATCTAATGATGGGAACAGATGCACTCTCCTCACGGAGTCTAGAATGGTTTTGTTTTTACATTGCAGCAACTCCCGTTATAGACAAAGCTCTTACTAGCTAAATTGCCAAAGAGCCAAATGATACCTGATACCTTTGTATGTGGAGGACAGGAAAGCCAGGAAGACTCTGGCAGAGCAGAAGGATATGCTGCAACCCAGCACTCTTCATCTGTTCATTAACCCAACATCTGAGGCCCAGTGCCTTAAATACATCAGACCAGAGAGATGATTGCCCCAGAACCATCCGCCTCACACACTAACAGACTACTGTTTACATCAGGAGTGTTCATTTCAGCAGATTCTCCATCCCCTGGCCTGCTCCATCTCAAGCACTACAGTTCTCAGAGAAAATGGATGTTGTGTTGTAACAAGTCAGGAAGAGTGAACAAGAAACACACCTGGATCCATGGATCAAGTTAGCACCACCCAAAATGCTTGTACTGCCACAGTCTTTCTCTTTTGCTTTTTAGTGCTTTCCCAAGCCCCAGATGAGCAGACTTAACTTACTAAACAGGTGGAAAATGATTCACTCTTCTGCTGGGTTAGTTTTTCATTGCTTTAATGAACTGAATCAGATTACAAAGGAGTCAGACAAGTACCACGGCTCATGCACAGCTAACGTGGAGTGGGAAAGGAGGAGCAATGAAAGGCCATGAAGTTCTGAACCTTATCTCCAACTTGCCCACATCCAGTTGGGATGTAGCTGGTCACCCTCTGACACATCTGGATGTTTCACGTTCTGTTTTGAGGTAGTGACTGAACAGGTTCTGGTGAGTTAGTGCTCCCTACTGCTATGATATATGTGGGCTCATCTCAAATCTTCGTGTCGGCTGGTAAAGACCTCATAAAAAATCCTAGACATTGGTAAAGACTGACCTTTACTTTCTCCAGAACAAACTCCTCTTGGCAGATGTAGGATGCCTTGGTAAAGCAGGAAGAGTTTGTAAGTGCAAGTAAATGGAGATTTTTGTTCTCGAGGGTCATCAAGCTGTTTCTTCTCACCACCTAATGAAAAATTGAAAAAAAAATCTGAGATTTTGGAGAAATCCTCTAATTCAGAAAACATCGTCTTTTATGTAAAGAGAGTTTAACAGCAGACTTAAATATTTGCTTTAAAAACATCCTGAATTAAATGCAATAACTTCATTCCCAGGCTAAGATTCTGCTTTACTTCAGGTCAGAGCAGGTCTGTTGGCCAAATTACATATCCCCAAGAAAAAAACAGAGGGCTTTAATACTGGGAGAAGCCTGTCTGTAGTGGCACAAGTGGGCAATGCTCTTTAAAGGGGGAAAAAAAAAAACCAAGAAAATCCCCCACACAACCCAGAATTGCATTTGGGGAGCACAGATGAAAGCCCTGATGTGGGTCATGTGACAGGTGTCACTTCGGTAATGATATTGGGGCAGAGATAAAAGTCCTCGCCGGCTGGTCATGTGACAGCGCTTCATTACTCTCACAGCAGGTGGTCGGAGAGTCTCAATGCTTTTATTTTTTTATTATTTTTTAATTTTTTTTTTATTCTGTGATAATGAGAAAATGTTTAAACTTCCATCCCTGTGTTTAAACAGTCCTTCATGCTGTCAGCAGCAGGAGATCCCTTGATCAGCTGTCAGATTGGAAAGTGCAATTTTTCTGGAAAGTAAACAGCGTGTTTGCCAGTTGGAAATCATTTTCTGTTTGTTGGGACTGCGAGTGGCAGAGTGATGGAGCCGTGTCACTGCGTCTGACAGCTCGGGAGCGGGGAATAGAGAAGAGCCTGAAAAATGTTTTTTAGACTCTGCCTCTGATAACAGCAGCCTGAGATTTCTGACACTTCCCTATTGTTATTGTGTGAAAAAAAAAACATCATTTATGGATTGCTTATGAAACTTCTGAAGCAGCGGCACCGCATCAGCATGAGTACGTGGGACCTTCTAAAAGAAGCTCCTGCATTTTAATAAAAACTTTCAGAGGAGAAAAGCAAACGGGATGCACAAAGAAGTGAGCAGGCGTGGGGACACGTGGCTGCTCACTGGCTGGTGAAGGTGGCCAGATTTCATCCTCCACGGGCAAGGAAAAATGAAAAAGTCCCCTTCTATTAGAAAATGTTTCATGTCTGATGTCACACAAGCTCAGGGAAGTTAGTGGAGGTTTCAGGTGAGATGAGGAAGGGAAACGCAGTCCCAGGATGATGCCAGCAGCCCTGGGGCTAACCAGGCCCAGTGCAGGCAGAGTGCAGATTACACCCTTCTTCCTGAGCAGCTGGGACCCAGCTACGTGCACTTCACAGGTTAACCACTTTTATTTTGGTTCCTATTAGACAAATATCTTCTCAAAGTCATTCTCACAAGGAACAGGAGATATGGATATAATGCACATAATTTTAATTAAAATCAAGGTTTGAATGTGCATATGCAGAGGCATACAAAGCATTTTTCCTATGCAGACATAGACAACATCTCAAATGCAGAATCAACAAATCAACCCGATTTCAACACTGGTAAGTTAATTACTCAGAGCATGGCTTGGATCACGTATTAGATATCTGCAGCAATTACGTTACGTGGAGCCTTGGTAGTCTCCCAACTAATGCTTCCCTATGAGGGCTGTGCCACAGAGTCCCACAGGTGTTTTCTCCCTCTCTGTGAAGCTCCCCATTAAAAGCTTCCTGCGTATTACTTGTCAGGAAGATTTGCCTCATTGGAGCAGAGGGCTTGATGCCCTATTACCATCTCACTTATCCCACCCTGAGCTGGTGCTGCTTCAGCTCCACACTGTGTGCAGCTCTGGGCCCCAGATCTGTGGAGCCCCATCCCGGAGCTCAGTCAGGGCTGGGTGATCAGCAGAAATGATCCCAAGCAAAAAGATCAGATCCGAATCTGGCCCTTTGTTAGCAGTCATTAAAAAACATAGCACTTTTAATAGGAGCTTATTCAATTAGCAGACTAACAGGCTCCATCAGATAAGCAGGGGATTTCCCTGGGAATCTGAGTCACTATGGCACATAATGCTGAAGCTGCTCCAAGCCTATGATTAACCCTCTTCGCACTGAACCAGATGAAGAGGCCAGATTTCAGGAAAGGGATCGTTCCTGGCTTCCTAAGGGAAAAGGAAAAGCTCTCTGCTCTGCCTGCACACCCCAAAATGTGCCAGTGCTGAGTGTGACTCACACAGGCAGAAGGAACCCAGAGGATCATGGCACCAAACTGTAAGTGCTGCAGACAGGAGACTCGCCTGATCTCTGATAAACACGCTGACATTTGGCAGCCTGACAGCTTCACAGTTCTATAAGAGGCTTCCTAATTAGAGCCTGGGTGAGAAATAATCCACAACTTGAAGTTTGTCTCTAGCTTCCTCGCTGTACTTTTTTTTCCTCCTTTTCTGTGCGCTTTCTCCCATTTCAGTGTTTTCTCTCACACATTCTCAACACATCCCCTCCCTGCAGACGGAAGCTGTTTGAAACACCAGGCAGGAGGAAGGTTAATTTTTGCCTGTCCTCTCGGCTCAGAACAACTCTCAACAAAAGCACCTCTCTTGCATTCCAGTGTTGCCCTTGAAGGAGACTGGGAGATAGCGCAGGGAGAGGACAGGACATGTGGAAGATTATAATGAGACAAAGCACAACCAGTCTGGATGAAAACCAAAGCAGTTCCATTCATTCCTAGTAAGACTTGTAGGGTAAACCTAGTGCTCCTAGCAGCGGAAGAATGGGGACTCTGGGTCAGGATCCAACCTTGCATTTCACTTTGCTCCTGTTGCCCAGCTCCGCAGCAGCTGGACCCAAACAGTGCATTGCAACAACTCAAATGTCAGCTGCAGCCAGGTTCTGAATGCAGCACTGCCCTTAGGACTTAAAGTACAGTGATGCTGCCATATCACAGCACAACATTGGCCCTGCTGGTCTTACAGTGAAGTACATCTTTTAGAGATATGAACTGTTACAAGGGCAGATCTTTAAAGGCTAAATCACATTCCAGTCTTTTACTCCATCACAGCCACGTTCCCCAAGTAGTTCCAGAAAAACGTCAAATGCAATAACCTCTGAATGTGAGATCATATTAACAAGCAACATCTGCTAGGACAAGTATAACTCTTCTACTGTATTTACTGCTTAGGGGGATATTTGCTGACAAGGGGGTCGTTTGTCCTCTATTTATTTCCCAATGTCCCTTCCCAGTAATAGGATGGGTCGCAAAGTTATTCAAAGACAACAGCCAGTGTGCACTCTGCAATAGCTGGGATACAAACACAGAATCCACTTTATGCTGGAGGGTTGCTCCTGTTTGCTATTCTCCTTGATTAATAGAATAATGCCTGGATAGCCATGAGAAACAGGCAGAAATTCAGGATTCTCCACATACAGTCCACAGGACAGTTATATGTTATCACCATTCTTGACAATGGTATGGGACATACAAATATGTAACTACCAGCTCTCTCCAAAGCAAAGAGAGTTCATTCACATTTTGAAGCTATTTCCAGGACAGGCATATTTGCTGCTGAGATATACTGGAAGATCGGTCTTATCCAGAGGAATCAAGGGTCCTTGAGGAGTGTGCTCTTCTGAGGTTTCCATTTGTGGGCTTTGTTATAATTGCCAGTGACCAAGTGTTTCACATGCTGGAGATATCTGTGAGAGAAAATATAGACTATACCTCAGTAATGGGGAGAACAACCCTACATGAGGACTGGAAAAGTCTGCAAAGTTGTTCTCATTTGTAACGCCTGTACTTTTAAGATACTGAGGCTGAGAAAATTGTCAGTTAAACTGGTATTTCCAACAGACATCTGTGAAGTAAGCAGAGCTGGTCCCTGAGGTTCTAACAAATTCCCTGAATAGATTGTAGCTGTGTGTTTTGTACCACCCCTTTCCATAAAATGAAGCATAGATTGGTACACTCTATTTATAGAGTGCAACCCTCCCACTTGCTCAGAGAACCCCTGAAGCTGAGGGAGATGAAGTTGCATTTGTAGCCTGACACAGCCTCCAGGGTCCATGTAGCATCATATTAACATTCTGCCTTGCAGCACAGTAGAAACCTTGGGGAAAAAATGTAAGAAGTTCTGGACCCAAGATATCTGGCCCCATGCCAACCTAGATATTCTGTGTGAATTCATATCAGTATAGATATGAAGAAGGAAGATGTAGATGTGGGGAAAAGCTCTCTGGAAGGCTGATGGGAGGAGACCAGGCAGGGCTGGGGTGGGCAGCTTGCCTTTGGATCCCTGCCCTGGGGTACTGCCTTTCAGTCGCTGCAGCGTGGCACTGGGCTCAGAAGAGCGGCATCTTGCACGACTGAGCGCTCAGCATGAACCATTTTAAAATTCAGGTGAATCAGCCGCCAGGAAGATTAGTGATGTGACAGTGCAACACCACAGGAGAGAAGAAAAACATTGATACTTTTCAATTAAATTCAACTTTTTCAGAATTTCGGTCACTTAAATCCATTTAGACTAAGTCCTGCAATACAAGCTGGCAGCCTGAAGGAATTAATTAAAATATATCTATATATAGAGAGAGGGATTCACTCAAGTTAGAGATAGTGGTTTTGTTTCTTTTGTTGTTGTTGTTTAAAATTTTGATGGTTTCAGATGTTTAAAAAGAAATTTAAAATAAACAAACAAAATCCAGTTGAAAATTTGGCAAGGGCTGAACCCTTTGGGATGAATTTTCCCAAGAGAAGCACAGATCTCTGATAAGAGACAGAGAAGACGCCGCATTTCGCAGCTGCAATGCAGATCTGTGGCCCCTCTGGGGACTCACATAGTCTAAACAGGGATTTCTTCAGTTTAAATGCCAGATTCACTGAGGTCCCAGTGGAACTCCAGAGGGGCATTACCTAGGAAATGGGGCACATTTAATCCAATCCATCATTAATGCAGAGAACAGTCTCAATATTTTTGAAAATCAAAAACATGCATTATGAAAACGTTCTTCATGTCTTGTGTAGATTAAACTTCACTCACTTCCCTAGATGGCTGGGCCGCAGTTTGTTTATGATATATGGGTCCTTCTGCATCTGTA